CTGAGCATAAATTTTCTTTTTTTACGTCCGTACGTACTAAATTGTACTACCGTACTGTACTAATTTACTATATACCCCAAAATTAGCGATTTGGTCATTATACGTACGTACGTACATAATTTTCATAATTTGTCACGTAACAAAGATATTCATTAACTTTAACATGTGTTAGAATAGTTCCAGACATAAATTTATCTGTATCACCTTACGAGTAGTGAGCCGATTAAATTTTTATGGCTAGGCTAAGCCATTAGATTTTTAATAGCTTAGCGGCTTAGCCGATATTACATGTATCGATACTACCAGCTACTAAATTACGACTTCGTATATATGTTCCGCAGGTCGATTTGTCATGCAGATCATGACCCAGATCGATTCATGTGACCTAAGCAATGTAATAAACTACTGATTTAATTTTATTAACGATAATAATAATTACATATTTTATCGTTATCAATGACGATAATAATAATTATTATTAATTACATTGATTTTTACATTGATTTTTACATTGACTTTTACAATTCTTTATCGTTGCACACTTTATTTCTTTTTTTTATTCATTATATCTGAATCGATTTTTATCGCTTTTTATTAAATATTTTCTTCAACTCTTATGGATTCGCAAGAATATAATTTTATGACCCGTGAAACTTTTAACCGAATATTAGAGACATTCATTAACAAAAGAAAAACAAGCGAAGTTTGTTGGATAGAAGCCGCTATTATGAATGTTTAAATGTCTAAAAAATCCAGACCAGTGTAACGCGAAGTTCAAATATTGGGCGGTTAATACTTTTAACGTTCATCAGATTGGTGCAACAGAAGAACTGCATCTGCTTAAACAAGATAAGAATAACCTGGGAACGCAAGTTTGTTGTATCGAAAATTTTTACGAAATAATTTGTGCTGCCCATCAAGCAACTGAGCACGGTGGCCATGAAAAAAACCGGAAAAAGGTATGCTTGTCTTTAAAAAATAAAAATACTGTAACAATAATAATAACAACTTTCTTATTAGATTCAGGTTAGATACTGCTATATTCCCCAGCAGTTAGTTGAGAATGTAATTAATGTATGCAAAGTGTGTGTTACTCGACATATTTCTAAAAGAGTTCCACCAATGCGCCCTTTTGTTTCCGAAGGCTTTCTAAATCACATTCAAGTATGTGCGTTATATAACTTTAATAAATAAATTTTAATAATTTTTGCAACATTGGCATTACGAATAATAATATTGGTTCTAGTTAAGGCACCCTACAGGAAATATGCCGTTGCCGAAAAACAAATTGCGGCACCAAATCATGTTCTTGCAGAAAAAGAAATTCATTATGCTCAAGAAAATACGTACGTATGTGTTCTACGCGGGAAATGCAAAAACTTTTAATTAATGGTTAAATTATATATGAATATTTGAATATACATTTAAAGAATAAAAATTTGGCAATTAACGTTGGGCGAGCATCTAATCAAAATTTATTTATTTTAATTAATTTTTCGAAAATTTAGCTAGCAATTAACGTTAAGAGAGCAAATAATAATTTAATTTATATTTCTTAAATTAACTAATTTTATTTTTTTTCAATCTTTTTTTTTTAATCGGCAAATGAATACCGATTCTAAAATGACCCACTTCATTCCACGATCCATGAATGACAGGCGTCAATCCCGGATCGACTTAAATCCCATAAATAAAACTAGAAATTGATCTGTTTCTAGATAAGATAAATCAGAATTTTTTAGAAATCTTGCATAATTAAAGAAATTCTATATTTATTTAAATTTAGTTATACAAAATAAATTTAGTAATTGTCATTATTAGCCATTATTAGCCGGCTAGACAAACTATCAGCCGCTAAGCGGCTAAGCTGATGGCTAAGCGGCTGGCTTAATCAGCTTAGAACAACTTACGAGGCTTATCGTTATGCATAACTTATTTGTGAGACAGGGCACAATATCAAAGTGCTATTTTTACAAAGTGCATGTTTAAACAACTTTAAACAACTTTATTTATAGAATAAAATAGAAGATCATAGAAATTCCAGATGGGAGTAGTGTTAGTGCACAATTTTAATAAGGTTAAATAAAGCAGGTTTTGAAACCAAACCGAAAAGATATAAATATGTTGCATTTTCGACACATTCTAAAAATGGCTTTTTAGCATGTTTTTTTTTCCGTAAAGAATGAATCAAGTAATGCTTACACGTTTTCTTGACAAAATGTTCCCATCGAGAAAGGAATAATAATATATAATGTGGCAATCAATTGAACTGGTGCTCCACGTAATCGAAATCGCATTTTTTTGAGTACAATAATGACTTCTGTTTCCAAAAAACGTTTGAATTTAGATTCCTATAATGTTATCGACATTGAAGACAAGACGTGTAATAAGTTAGTAGAGCTTTATCGTGAGAATTTAGAGAGAAAAGATTGGTGTTACATACTGGAGAATATTAAAAAAGATCTTAAAAATGTGGCGAATTCGAAATCTGAATTTGACGAGGAACGGAGAAACAAGGCTCAGGAAATTATCGACCACTGGAAAGTAAGTATATGTTAAGATAGG